TTTTAGATATGTGCGCTGCCTCTTTTAAATAGGCTAACGTTACAAGACTTGATGTTACAAAGCAAAGGCTGATAACAGCCAATAACAAAGAAAGCCTAAACTATTGCTAAACTATCGTAACAGTATCACAACAACTAGGAGCTAACAACTAACATACAAATAACAAATCAGAATAAATAATATTTTGTTACACATAAATCTCCAATACTCCCCCTCAAGTTGGAGCATGTAAGGATGAAATGCCCAACTTGGGAAGAAAACCAAGGAGCTCACGTTGTCCCAAGGCTTTAGTGAACAAGTCTGCAAGTTGGGAACGAGACGGTACGTGAGCTGTAGCAATATTATTGGACTGGATTTGTTCGCGTACAAAGTGACAATCTAACTCAATGTGCTTAGTACGCTCGTGAAACACCGGATTTGCTGCAATGTGTAACGCTGCTTGGTTGTCACAAAACAACTCCATAGGACTTAGATGCGTGACACCAAGGGAAGTGAGAAATGTTTTAAGCCATACAATCTCTGCTGTAGCTGCAGCCATTGATCTATACTCTGCTTCTGCTGAGGAGCGCGACACCGTGACTTGTTTCTTAGTCTTCCATGACACTGGTGATGAACCCAACATAACAAAGAAACCAGTGAGGGAACGTCGAGTAAGAGGGCAAGATGCCCAATCTGAATCACAATAGGCATGGATCTTTAGATCACAATCTGCTTTGAGAAGAAGGCCTTGACCAGGATCTCTTTTTATATACCGTAAAACACGAAGGACAGCCTCATAGTGAGCAAGGCGTGGGGAGTGCATGAATTGAGACAAGATATGAACAACATAACTTAGATCAGGTCTTGTGATAGTGAGGTAGATCAACTTACCAATTAACCTTCTATACCGTTCCGGGTTCTCATATTCTGGTCCTTCATCCAATGCAAGATGATGATTTTGTTCTATAGGAGAAATAGCAGGTTTACATCCACTGAGTCCAGAATCAGAAAGAATATCTAGTGCATATTTTCGTTGACACAAAAATATTCCTTTCTTACTGCGAGCAATTTCAATCCCCAAAAAATACTTCAGATTGCCCAGATCTTTTATTTTAAAACACTGGTTCAAATATGCCTTGACTGCAAAACATGCTTGCGAATTATTACCTGTTAAAATGATGTCGTCTACATAACCAAAAGTGCAAGGAACTCATCACCTTTCTGCATAGTAAAAAGCGTGTAATCAGCTTTTGACTGAATAAATCCATATGCTGTCAATGAGCTACTGAGTTTGGAAAACCAATTCCTTGGCGATTGTCGTAGACCATACAGTGACTTTGTAAGACGACACACTTTATCTTTAGAACCATTACTGAATCCAGGAGGAAAACGCATATAAACTTCCTCACTTATTTCTCCATTTAAAAATGCGTTATGAACGTCAAGTTGGTGCAACTCCCAGTTTCTTGCTGCAGCTACTGCTAATAATGTGCGTACGCTCACCATTTTTGCCACTGGTGCATAAGTCTCACCGTAATCTTCTCCAGCTATCTGATAATTGCCTGCGATCACTAGTCTCGCCTTATACCGTTCTACTGTTCCATCTGAACGATATTTTATTTTAAACACCCATTTACTTGGAAGAACATGCTTTCCTGGAGGCAAGTCCATGATACGCCAAGTATGATTATCTTCTAGAGCTGTAATTTCTGCCCTCATGGCTTCAACCCATCGTGGATCACGTATAGCGTCTTGAAATTTTCTTGGCTCATTGCCTGCATCAATAGCTGCAACAAACTCTTGGTGTTGCTTAGAAAAATTATTAAAACTAATATAATTGCACATAGGATACCGAGTACCTGAGGTGACATTGGTTTGAGTGGAGATAGACGAAGGAGTATGTGTTTCAGCTACTTGGCATGCGTAATCCTTCAAGTAACCTGGAGGCTTTCTGGTGCGCTGTACTCGAACAAGATCATTACCTTGATTATGTTCCTGCTGCTGTTGTGAAGACACACCATCAGTTGAACTTGACGGAAATGAGCGCTGGTCATTTTCCAGCGAAGAGGGCTGCTCGATTTGCGACATAGGAGGACGCTGTTCCAGCATAGGAGTTTGCATCAACGAGGAGTCAAGAGTACTCCCCCTATCGTTCATAACGTCACGTGCATCAGGAGGAGCAGGAACATATTGACCAGGACGCGCACTATGGCCAGATTCATCCACATCGAAGAATTCTTGCGTCCCTGGCCTATGAGTGGTTTGTACATGAATCGGCTGAAAAGATTTTTCACGAAATGGGAGGATGTTTTCAAAGAATTTTACATCTCTGGATACAAAACTTTGGTGCGCATCTATATCATACAATTTCCAACCTTTCTGCCCTATTGCATAACCAATGAACACACATTTTCTTGAACGAGAGGCAAATTTGTCGGTCGGTTTTGGTCTGGTGTTAGCAAAAGATAGACAACCAAATGTGCGCAAGTATGTATAATCCGGCTTAACTCCAAATAATTCTTCATGTGGTGACCTTCCTTGGAGGATTCTTGTAGGTGTTTTATTAATTACATGAACAGCCGCAAGAATACTTTCTTCCCAAAAATCAATCGGAAGGTTTGCATGGAACATCAAAGCACGCGACACATTAAGGATGTGCCTGTGTCTTCTTTCTACTCTCCCATTCTGTTCGGGCGTATAAACACATGTTGTTTGTTGCAAAATGCCTTTTTCATTCAAAAGCTTCATCATATTATTTGATTTGAATTCCGTCCCATTATCAGACCTTATTATCTTTACGGTCTTACTGAATTGATTAAAAATCATGGCCATAAATTTGCACATACGATCATAAGTTTCACTTTTATCTGCCAACATATATACCCACACATGCCTACTATAGTCATCGACAATAGTTAAAAAATAACGTGCACCAGAAGAAGAAGAAATTTTATATGGACCCCAAGTATCACAATGGATTAAATCGAAGCACTCTTTGCTACGAGAAAAACTTACAGGAAACAACGATCTAGTTTGCTTGGCACGATGACAAACGTCACATGCCTTACATGCAACTTTATTCTTCAGGACTTTAAATTCTGGAATTAAAGACAAAATATCATAGGATGCATGCCCTAGCCTGTTGTGCCATAATTCGATTGAGTCTTCTGCCTGAGCTGCTGAAGCAGAAATACTTAAAGGCTGAAACACATACACTCCGTCATGAAGTTCACCCAAACCAATCTCCCTCCTCAGCACTGGGTCCTGCAAAATGCAATTTTTATTAGTAAATATGACACTGTTGTTCTTGGAACGGAGCAATTGGGAAACAGAAATGAGATTGCAACGTAAATTGGGCACATATAAAACTTCTGATAATTTGAGATTTGCATCAAACACCAACGAGCCTTGTTTGGTGGCATAAGTAATAGAACCATTTGGTAGAGTCACAGGTAGAGGAGAAAGAGATGTAACCTCAGCTAATAAAGCTAAATTACCCGTCATATGACGTGAGGCCCCACTATCAACAAGCCATTTAGATTGAATACTCTTACCAGATAATTTTTCATGTGCCTGAGGCTGGTCTACCAATGTCAACAACTTGTTCACAATATCCGGAGTCAAGATAGAATGTGCAGCAACTTGAGAACCTGTAGGAGGAACAGCCGAAAACGAACCAGCCACGACTGGATGTGAGCCTGCCAGCGTCGCATGAGCCTGTGTGTTACGTCCTCCTGATCGTCCGCCCCTTCCACGACCACGAGAAGGAAACCTGTTGGGCGGAAAACCAAGAATATTCCAGCATTTGGAAGGGTCGTGATTAGTTCGACCGCAATGAGGACATGGACTCCGTTCTTGTGGTTTATCTGGATGCATACGTTGCTGCAAGGGAACTTCTGGACGCTGCATGGACTCCGTTTGGGCTGCATATCCCACTACCTGACCACGTTCATCTTGACCGCGAGAAATGCTGCGATGAGTTTCCTCTTGAGTGACAATGGCATACACCTTGTTCACGTTTGGTAACAGTGTAGTATTCAAAATTTGCGAACGTAAATTGCCAAACATACTTTCATCCAATCCCATCAGGAATTGGTACACCCGAACATGCTCACGATCATCGTCAACCTCCTTGGCATACAGACAATCACCAGCGTATACACAAGCCCGGTACGTCTTACTGGATTCAAGCTCGTCCCAGATGGCGCGTAGCTTGGTATAGTAGTCACTGACACTGCTGCCTTGTTGTCGGATAGTAGCAAGACTAGCCCTGAGTTGATACTGTCTGGAAAAATTCTGCACCGCATATCTTTCCTTCAGGTCTTCCCATAGGTCTTTCACTTGATCAAAACACTTAATGAACGGCTGAAGCTTGGGGTCGATTGTATTATGAATCCACCCGTTAATCATGGAATTACACCGTTCCCATGCTCGCCATTCAGCTCCAGTTTCGTTGACTGGTTTTTTCATAGCTCCAGTTACAAACACGAGCTTATTTTTAGACTTGAGCGCGTTTTTCATTAACTTAGACCAATTGTCGTAATTGGCTTCCCCCCGAAGCAGCACCGTTGTGAGCATAGCCCCTGGATTATCAGATCCTCCCAGATAGTAAGGGGAATCGGGGTCAGACGGCGGCAAGGAAGCATCACTGTTAGCCATGGCTAGCTTTCACGCTCTGTGTATTTGCGGAAAAAAAACAAAAAACGGATGGTTCTGATACCAAAATAAACTTGATATTAACACTGATATTCTTTTAGATATGTGCGCTGCCTCTTTTAAATAGGCTAACGTTACAAGACTTGCTGTTACAAAGCAAAGGCTGATGCAAAGGCTGATAACAGCCAATAACAAAGAAAGCCTAAACTATTGCTAAACTATCGTAACAGTATCACAACAACTAGGAGCTAACAACTAACATACAAATAACAAATCAGAATAAATAATATTTTGTTACACATAAATCTCCAATAGTTAGCTTCCCTTTTGACCGTCACGAATCTAGTCTCCCAATCCAAGGTCTTTCAGTTCCTAATCAACTTCACCATTTGAGGTACTCCCCCAGGACCATCTTCACCTGCTATCGCGGCCATAGCCAAGGAGGAGTCTCTTTCTATAATCAGCTTTCTAATCCCACTCTCCCAAGCCACCTACATGCCAATATATATTGCCCACATCTCCGCAGTCAGAGGATTACATCTCCCAATCCCGTATGTGAAGCCTCTCACCCAAACCCCTTTATCATCTCTAACAAGGCCCCCACAGGTAGCTCTATCAGAACTCTTCTCAACCGCACCATCTATATTAATTTTCCACCACCCATACTCAGGCGCGGCCCACTTCACCCTCTCCACCAACCTGGATGGCAGAGAATTAATTCTGTTGGCCTCCTTTGCTACTTTTATTTCCAAAATATACTTGGAAATAACTTGAATGGGGTTGTAAGGTCTAGAGAAAGATGGATCATGTAACTCATTGTTCCTCCAGTACCAAATATGCCATATAGTTGTTATAAACACATCAGCCCAATCCAAAACCTAGTTATGTCTCCATCCTCCTTGAAGATTCTTTCGAACCCACTCCTGTGCATTTAAGGAGAAAAAATCCACATAGGAGCTACCATTCAACCAAGAATTCCAAATAACTTTAGCATTCTTGCAATCTCTCACCACATGCAAAGTATCCTCAATATTAGTAACACATGCATGGCAGAAGGGCATCCCACCCCATTTGGCAGTGAATTCCTTGGTGAGAATTTTACCTTGCAAAATTATCCAAATAAAGCTATGCATTCTAAATGGACCCTTCCACTTCCATATAATATTCCAAATAGGATCCTTCCTCAGGTTCTCAAAACCCATTATATTCCTGTATGCATTCTTCACCAAGCTGCTGCTCCTTGTGTTGTTCTTTTGAATCAGATGGTCCATTCCCTTGTTTGTTGCCGGGGGAAGAAAGGATCTAATATGCTGAACCACACCTCCTGGAGAAGGTTTCTTAAGATTCCCAAGTTCCAATCCCCTGATGTTTTATTCGTGTCAGAATCTTTAACACGAATATGACAAATTTTTTTTATAGGTTGACATGATACGACAAGAATAACACGCAAACTATGAATCAAAACAGTAATTGACCAAAAAATGGGTCAAAATGAAAAAAATTAAAAAAATATGGGTCAAATTCGTATTGACACAACACGTGATATGACGTGAATTTTTTTCATATCATTTTTTTAAACACAATACAAATTTTTTTGCAGATCAACTCAAATAAAATTTTTAATATCATGTCGCTGGTTGATTGACCCCTGTCCATATCATTTATAGGAAATCCATTACAATGATATATACATCAACATACCAACAAAAGCAAACCTAAAATCTGCACCTAAGAGTTGATTGACGCTTATCTACTTTTTTTTTTTTTTTTGATAACAGACGCTTATCTACTTTGAATCTTTGATGGTTGGTACACATTGCTTCGCTAATTTAAAGTTCAAAGTTTTATATAATTCGCTTCTCTTTCATTGCTTGTACCATATCTTTTACTTAATATCTTATAATTGTAACGTCTCTTTGATTCTCATCGAAAAACGTTACTCACATTTTTTTTAATAAAACATTACTCATATATTATAAAGAAATTAGAAATATTATTTTTATGTGAAAAATAATATATACATATAAATATTGTTCAGACATGTCATGTTGTACGTACCTACTAAATCGACATATAATTGAATACAAAGTCACCTCATATTACAACTAAATTGCATATTTGTTAAATACAAAGAAAAGAGTAAAATAATATTTCGATTATAAAACTCTATAACTGTACATAAATTATATGGACAACTTTGAATGATACTTCCGTACTAGATAAAACGAATGTTATTAAAATCGGTCTGGTCATTGATCCGGTCGAGGTACCGGGTTACTGTGTCACTGATTCAATCAGTGGGTCACTGGTTCAATCAGTGGGTCACTGATTCAACCAGTGGGTCACTGGTTCAACCAGTGGGTCACTGGTTCAACCGCATGACCCGATAATTATATGTAATTTTAGAATTTATATTTTAAATAAAAAAATTATAAACATACTCAAATATCTAAAAAAATGATAAAAATTTCAAATATTTTAATACAAAAAATAATAAATCACATATTATTATCAAATAAAAAATCAAACAAAAATATAATTATCGTGATACGGGGCTTTAGGTTCAGAAAACGACATCTCTAACTGTAAATTAATTCAAAATTTTATGCATAGTACATAATTAAGATAATATTAGTGTTGTAGGTACATAACTTATGGAAGTCAATAAGCAAAAAAATATTCAAATATGGCTATTATGATTTTTTTTTGAGAAATACAAAAATATGGATTTTTTTTGGAACCAGACCGGGTCACCGGTTAATCGACCGGGTCACCGGTTTTTATGAAAACCGACTGGGTCGGACCAGGTCGCACCGATTCTGATGCATGGCCGGTTTATTGCTTCAACCGAACCGATTATATGATCGGTTTACCGATTCTCGGGTCGATCCGGCCGGGTCGATCCGATTTTAATAACTATTGATAAAACAAATAAATACTTTAATTTTTGTACCTGATTACGGTGAAGATAAATACTTTAGCTTCTTCAACAATAACTTACGAATAAGTTTCTCCCGCTATACATTCACGAAGTCAAGGCACTCATCAAATTAAAAAAAATTTAAAAAGATTTTTATTTTTTTATACAGGAGGGAATGAGTTTCTCCTACAATCGAAGAAACTCATTCCACCAAAACTTAATATATAAAAATCTTTCATAGTTTATATCAAACAGAGTAAATAAATCTTGCTAAAGTTATAATATCTTGAAAAATCTTGAAATAAAAAAATACCATAAACTTATTTCTTCCGTCGCATAAACATTTTTTTTTGTCATAACGCATAAATCATAATTATTCCTTAAAATTTATAATGAGATAAATCTTCTCTGTTTGTTTGATTTGGACAAAAATACTCATGAATGATTTTTTTAAAAACAAATTAAACTTATTGACTTTTAATCATTTATAATTTTACTACTTCAACAAAATGAAAATTAGAAGTGTTTGGTTTTATTAAGAAAATAAAACAATTGTGTTTTATTTTAATAAAGACAAAGAAAATTAGTTTATTATTAACTCTGTTTATTATCATTTGTTAATTTTAAAAAATCAAATTATATATTAAAATAAATTTATATATGTAATATATAAATTAATGTGCGCTAAAAAAGATAAAAAAAATACAGAATATAAAATAATTAAAACACTTTAAATGTAAGAGAATATAACTTGTTAGATATTAGCTAATTTTCATTTTACTTATTGCTCAAATAAATTATAAAAATTTATATTTATAAAAATTAGTTTTTTCTTCCTTTAATTTAATGAGAATATATAGTCAAATTCTCTCTCATCATTAAAACTAAGCATTCTCTTTCTTCGATAAAGTTAGCCTTCAACATTTTCTTTTATCATTAAATTTGATAATCCTGTTACGAAAAAAAAAAATTGATAATCCTAAGTCACTAAAATACCTTTAAAAGTAAATTATTTCATAAAAATAATTGAAGTGTTATTGTCCAAAAAAAAAAAACATGGAGCTAAAACCTCTATATATATGAAGGTGTGGTTAGCTATAGCTCTTAGTGTTCCAGCTCCAGAACCTTGGTTCTATACGGGTTCCAATCATACCATTTGAAATCTTGATCTGGTCCCAATTCTATGTTTAGCATTTGAGTCATGATTATTCTAAAAATAAACCAATGAGAGAGTTTTTTGGGGCAGAAAGTAACAGACGAGAAGGAGACAAAGAAGTACTTTCACCATGTTATAATTAGATTTAGAACAAATTGATATATGTATATAGAAATACAACTCTATTCTATATTATCATATTATACCATTTTTGAAATGCAGCTAAAACAAGATCCACCCTTGAAATGCACGTTTATCCATATATAACGCCGACTTTTAGGAACGGCCAAACTTAGCAAATTTGAAAAATTGCTATTCACTTGGACAAAATTGAAGCAAATAATGTAGTCACGAGTTAATAGTGGTCGATGATGAGAAGGTCCTGGCTAAGTAAACGGATTAGCAGTCATTGTTTTTTTAAGCCAATTTTCTAGTTTAGACACGTGAGATCCTTTTCTTAACCATGTCCAATGTAACAGAAACACCTGACGAAACAGAACGGTTGACCGCACTTTTCGCTCCTAAATATTAGAACTACATTCTTGACATCTTCAAGGTTTGCCATCACTATATAAGCTCTGCTTATCCTAATAACTTACTCGAAGCACTACTATGCGGGAGTGCCAATAGTACTTGGTTTTTATTGGTATTGGCTTGCTAAGGTCTTTTCCTTGTGCATTCATTCTCAATCAGCACAAAGACCTTGGCTCACCTTGCCTTTGAAAACCAAGAAAAAAAAATAAATAAAGTTTTAGAATCCCAAGAAAAACCAGCAAAAACTCCAACAACAAAAAAGGACATATAGGCATTGGAAAAATAATGGCAGGAAGTAAGGTTATCTTTGTCATCTTGGCTACTTTTGCCATTACCATTCCATGCCTTGAGGCTGGCATTGCTGTTTTTGACGATTTTCTCAAAAAGCAAGCCGACATTGCCCACGAAATTGCTTTGAAGTCCTACATACCCAACCCTGAAAACATTACATTCGAGCTCAATATGCATGTTCATAGGTATTATTAACCATTATTCTCTTGTGACGCTTTTTTAATTTATCTCTTTCTTTACATGCTCAAATGTGAAATATTTATATGAGAAGATTAATTCTCAATATTAATATAGTTTTAGCATAGTTTCAAATTAATATCATATTTATTAATCAGTATCATTTTATATTAATTATGTAAGTTACACTTTTTATAACTATGGTCTGATTTATTAGATATATGAATGAGGTGATAGATGTAAATAAATAAATTACTAAAATTGAATATAGGATTTTTTATTCTCACAAATACTTTGATGCAGGGCTTTGGAGGAGTTGGATTTGGAGGAGGAAGAGATCAACGGTACAAGGAGGGAACTAAAGGAGAAATACACTGGACCATGCTTAGCCACGAACCCAATTGACCGTTGCTGGAGGTGCAACAAAGACTGGGCAAAAGATCGCCAAAAGTTAGCCAAATGCGGGAAGGGATTCGGAAGAAAGGCAGTAGGAGGACTCGGCGGCAAGATCTACGTCGTCACCGACGAATCCGACGAGGACATGGTTAACCCTAAACCTGGTACTCTAAGGTTTGCTGTCGTCCAAAAGGGACCACTGTGGATCACATTTGCACGTAGCATGATCATCAGATTGAAGCAGGAGTTGCTGGTTTCGTCAGACAAGACCATCGATGGCCGTGGAGCCAATGTGCAAATTAGGGATGGTGGTGGAATTACCATGCAGTTTGTTAACAACGTCATCATCCATGGTATTCGCGTCAAAAATATCCAGGCGAAGGAAGGTGGTATGATTAGGGACTCTTGGAACCACTATGGACAAAGAACAAGGAGTGATGGAGATGCCATCTCCGTTTTTGGTTCCTCAAACATTTGGATTGATCATATTTCCTTGTCCGAAGCTGCTGATGGTCTTATTGACGTTATCCAGGGTTCTACCGCTATCACCATCTCAAATTGCCACATGACCAAGCACAACGATGTAATTAATTAATTTTATTCTATTATATTCTTCCTTTCACTATTTTTTTGTTTTAATTCCTTATTAATTGGTTAGATTTAAATGTTTAGGGATTAATGTCTGTTGCTGCAGATGAAAAAAGTTACAAGAAACATATTTACACTAGGACACGGAGTCTGATCCTGGAATAAAAAAAATTCCAGGCTACAGATTCGGATCCTGATAGAAATAAGTGTTGCTACAAATTTTTTTATCAGCAACAACAGCAGAGCTATTAAAGATTTAATTTATATAATATTACTTTGCTATATATATGCTTAATTATAATTTGGAAAATATGTACACTACTAATATGGGGTTGTTGCAGGTGATGCTGTTTGGAGCTAGTGACTCCTACTCCGGTGACAAGATAATGCAGATTACAGTGGCATTCAACCATTTTGGACAGGGACTGATCCAGAGAATGCCAAGATGCAGATGGGGTTTCTTCCATGTTTTGAACAATGATTACACTCACTGGCTTATGTATGCAATTGGTGGAAGCTCAGGACCAACCATTCTTAGCCAGGGAAATCGTTTCATTGCACCTAACAACGATGCTGCTAAGGAGATAACACACAGAGATTATGCAACACCAGAAGTGTGGTCCCAATGGCAATGGAGATCAGAGAATGACTTGTTCATGAACGGTGCAAAGTTTGTTCAAGCTGGGGCACCTCTTGGTAAATTGCCATTTAACAAAGGATACCTAATGAAACCAAGAGAAGGATCACAAGCTGCTAGGCTTACACGGTTTTCTGGGGCTCTTGCTTGCACTGTGGGCAGGCCTTGCTAGTGAACAACCAAAAATAAAATAAAATTAAAAAGAGAACATAGGAACATCCTCTAGGATTCACTTGCACTTCTGCTTTACAGGATGTCTTCAACAGTGTTAATGCAACAAATTTTGTGTTGGATTAAAATGTTTAGAGGGAAAAATTTGTAGGGGATGAAATTGTGGCGTTGAGGGAAGTTGTTGCTTGGGGTTAATTAAGATGACAAGAAATAAGATTGGAAAGATCCAAATCCCGATTTGATAAATCTTTTCTTTTCTTTTTTGTTGTTTTTCTTTATATATTTGTACTTCTTTTCCATGTAATTTACATTCATTGATTCATTGATTCATTTGATATAGTCCGCTTCCTTATTTCGCTCTTTTTTTAGTTTGAAAATTTATTTATTTTAAATAAAATGGAATATTCACTATTCATCATTGAATCATTGGATTATTCCCTTGACAAATATAAGATAATATAATCTCAACATAATTAATCACCTATTATCTTTATACATAACAGAATATATTGTGTTATTTCATAAAAGCTACAAATATAATGTAACTACTGTTATACACACAAATAGTCTCACGCTAGTCGTATTTGTTTAGATTAATTGATATATCAGCAGTGAAAATAAAATAATAATACAGGCACTCTTAAATTTTTAGTATTTTGCATAACAATTTCAAATAATATTATCAACGGTCTTAGCAAATTTGTATAGATTTCAGTGAAAACGATATTTTGATTCTAAAATTATTAATTTTAAGATAGTTAAAGATTTAAAAAATGACAGTTGAAAGTTGAAACAGATAATTAAGAACTACTTTTGATTTAATCGTTTTTCATTTGATAATTATTTTGTAATTAATTGTAGAAATATGAGTTAATATTGACTAAATAATTATGAAGATAGTTTTTAGGAAATTTACAATAACAAGAACAAATGCAGCAAATTCTACTATGATATTTACTATCTACAAGCAAGCACTACGAGAAAATGTTGGACGTTGCTTTGGATCACAAAAATATACTGCTTTGGATCACAAATGTTAAGATCAGAATTATAAATGGACATTCCGTTGCAAAAAAGTAGATACATTTACTTTTCTGTTTTTTTTTTTTTTCAGTTCTACTTTTTTACAGATATATTTAATTAATTCCCTGAAAAAAAATAAAAATATATATATATATATATATATATATATATATATATATATATATATATATATATAGAGGTAGGATCCTTTGACACCAGTGTCAAATTTCAAATTTGACACCTCATCTGAAAAGTCGTTAGATCAAAAAAGATCAATGACTTTGATTTGTAAGCATGTAATACCATTGATCTTTTTTGATCTAACGGCTCTCAGATGAGGTGTCAAATTTGAAATTTGACACTGGTGTCAAAGGATCCTATCTCATATATATATATATATATAATTTAAACAAAATATTCATTAAAATTATATCGGTTAATTGCTTCGTTTCCAACATTGGACAACCTGTTTTGCCACATGTAAATTGGACAATCCCAAATGGAGTCTCACATCAAAATATAAGCTACCAGATGAAAATTATTATTATTTTTCTTAAAAATAATTCCACTCTCATTTTTAGGAAGGATGTTATTAATTTTTTTTTAATTATTTATAATCAAATCAATGGTAATGATATATTAGAAAAAAAAATATTAAGACAAAGAATAAGAAAATAATAAGTATTGATTAAGTTTCTTTGTCTACGAATGATTGTGATTATCTCATCATATTATAAATAACATAAAAGAGCATTTATTATGTCTCTGTTGAGATATATAGTCCTACATTGATTGTGTGGGTAACTAATGTTGTCTTTATAAGGCCTTGGGCACTCCCACCCTTTGAGCTAGCTTTTGGGATGGTGTATCCCAAGGTTCTTTACATAGTATCAGAGCTTGAGTGATTATAAGGTCACAAGTTCGATTCTCACGGCCCCCACTTTCAAGTAGAATTAAAACAAAAAGCACAAAAAGATAAACCAAAAATTGGATCTGTGCAATTCCATACTTCTAGCCCAAAATGACTCTTATGTGAGGGGGCGTGTTGAGATATATAATCTCACATTGATTGTGTGAGCAACTAATATAACCTTTTGTGATGGTGTATCCTAAGGTTCTTTACAGTTTCATTTCCTTTCTTGCACACCTACAAGTCCCTTGTGTAAGTACTAGCTTTCCACAACTTGATTAAGTTAAATATGACAAACAGCTACACGATAAGTTAAACAATAAAGAAAAAGTAAGTTCAAATAAATATTGCATTTACTTGAGGGATTGATCATTAACAAAGGTTAAGAAATTGAAAACGAACCAAAAAAAAGTTCAACCTCGGATCTACATGTATTACAAAGGATGTTTCTTTTCTTCATTTGCAATTATTTCATTTCTTTTAAGCTTCAATATTTATTTTTCACTGACCCACAAAATATTTATTCGCTAGTACAAAGTTATGAAAAAAATTTATCTGATTGTCTGGGAATGATTGCTTACAAAAAAAAAATTGAAAGTTACGAAAAATATTTATTACAAATTTTTTTTCTTATCACTTTTATGACCTGCTTATACTCAATGCTTATCACTTTTACAGAGTAAAGAAAGAGAATTTTTTTTTGTCAACTATTGATTTAGAATTGATCTAATAGTAATCAAATAAATAATAAGAGTGATAAGCCTAAATTAATTGTACATATAACCGTCTTTTATTTTATTTTATTATGAATTTGATTTATTTTTGTGTGTTAGATTTGGTTGTGATAATCTTTCCAAACAAAAGTATAAAAAAAAATAAAAAATGCAAAGATGCAATGTAATATTCAGCAGACATGTCACCCATTGAACCCTTCAAAAGACAATTTCTTCTATATATGCAAAAAGTCCACTGACTGTTATTGAAGGGTAAGTAATGAAACTTCAGTAAATAATCTTAAATAACATTAACCACAGTAACAGTGTTCCTTAGAATACCTCTGGAGACTTTCCTAATTTTATGTTCAAGATTAATTTACCCAACTTAATCCAATCCCAACTTATTCTATGTCCTTCTATTGCAAGCATACAAAATATTTCTGTTATCTTAAAAACGTGGGCATTTTAACCATTTTGCTCCTAATTAATTATTTAATAACTATTTTGTCCCTGATTGGAAACTATCTATTAATCTGCCCATCTTTAATCGACTAAGCCAAAAATTTAATCGACTAAATGATCGAATGAAGATTTAGTCGATTAAATCTTCAATTTAATCGACTAAATCTACCTCTTTATCAGAAGAACAACCTTGTGTATGGGAGATTTAGTCGATTAAATAGGGATATTTAATCGACTAAATCTTCATTCGATCATTTAGTCGATTAAATTTTTGGCTTAGTCGATTAAAGAGGGACAGATTGGTAGATAGTTTCTAATCAGGGGCAAAATGGTTATTAAATAATTAATTAGGGGCAAAATGGTTAAAAAGCCTAAAAACCTTCAGTTTTCTGTTGAGGTCTATCTTGTAGAGGTACTCCAATTGGATCAGTGATCGATTTCTAGGTTTCGCCGTAAACCTAATTGGTTACTTCCAATTACGTAAATCAATAGTTCAAACCGCACTCAAAGGTAGGGCATTTCCCATTTTTATAGGAACTTCTGTACCAGAAACAATGGTATCTCCAGGCGAAACATAATCAACTTGAATTCGGGACAGCTATTTGAAATCTTAGCGAAAGACTGGATTTATTATCTCATGTTTGCTTTTCGTGAAAAAATACCAATTGAAGTGGACAACTTTTATTTATATAAAACTCGAAATATCTCAGCTAGTTGAATGTCTGCACTCTAAATGAAGAAGACGTTAAATCTTAAATTAATAGTATACTTCACCAATCACTCCCAAAAAGAAAAGTATCATGCTACTTTGTAACTTTTTTACACGAATTTATAATTTTTTATGAGTTTATTTTTTCTGTAGTTATTGTAGACAAGTTATCTGCAGTAAGTCCAATACGATATCGTTTTGAGGCTGAAATCATGATATTTTTGTAATTTTAATTTATTTCAGAGTTATAATAGTCTTTATATTTATAAATTTTTAAGATTTCAATACCAAAACGACGTTGTTTTGGAAAAAATGCAGATAACTTATCTGCAGTAACTACAGAAATATTTTTCCCATTTTTTATTTATAACTTCATAATCTTCTTTTATAAATTTGTATACATATAATTTTTTATAATCCTAAACCTTAACTTAGAAATTCATATAAAAATACAAACTTACAAAGATAATATGATTTTTTTCTTTTAAAGAAATATCTAAATCAACACTCCTAAATTAATAATACATACAGCTAGTTACAGGTTGATTTAACATGCGGGCTTTCTTCCACTAAGCTACACGGATTAGAGTCAGCAGTCTTTCCGGTCTGAATTGGATTGGTTTTGAAAGCAAAAATCATCTGATCCAATTCTTTCGGTTTGATCATGTAATTATTCATTCGATTTGGATTTTTTTCAAATCTGAACCGATCCAATCCAATTTTTTTCGGTTTGGATTGGATCGATTTTCAGTTTTTTGAAAATCTTAAAATTTGTTTCATGATTATTGTGCAAATAACATCTTTTGTACATATTGGCTTTGTAAAAAAAAAAAATTGAAATACAAAAACATCATTAAACGATAATATAGTTTTTTTTTTTGGTAATGAGATATGAAGCTCTACACAGATAAAATTTTGTTGATGATATGTGACTAAATTTTTTCTTAGGTTTAGTTGATGGATTAATGAATCTGAGGTTTAGAAATTTTTGGGCTATAATTAGGAAAAGACCCAAGTAGGTAGAGGAAAATTAATATATTGGATCGGTTTTCATCCACCAATCCGAAATCTGATCCAATCCAATTAAAATTTGTGGTTTTTTTTTTGTTTTTGATTTTTCAATTTTTGATTTATTCAGTTATCAATTTTTTATTCGGTCATTGCAGTTTTTATCGATTTGGATCGAACATGTAACGTCTGGCAACTTGCAAGGATCAACGACTGTCCCCACACACTAACACGAGACTTTTCAGCATGCTTTGTCCTCACTCGCACACTTCCCGGGAAAACTTCCCAGGAGGTCACCCATCCCAGAATTGCTCCAAGTCAAGCACGCTTAACTATGGAGTTCTTCCGTTCTGGGCTACCAAAAAGTAGATGCATCTTGTTAGTATAGGTAGTACCAATTAATTCTTATAAGCCATTCCCAACTGTACTGTCCCATACCAGTACAGTCTCTGGAATCCCTCTTTTTCGGGTGTTGATTCGATTCATTCATGTACCCCCGTCCCTAGAAGCCTGCCAGGAGCCGCTCCTTGTTCGTGCCCTTGCGCACCGGCGATCACTCCCCGCCCTCGTCAGCGCCCAGGATGTTACATGCCCACCAGCTTCCGCTTGGTTCGTCCTCGAACCACACCGTACTGGATGAGAGGCCCTGCTCTGATACCACTTGTAACGCCCGACAACTTACAAGGATTAACGACTGTCCCCACACACTAACACGAGACTTTTCAGCGCGCTTTATCCTCACTGGCACACTTCCCGGGAAAACTTCCCAGGAAGTCACCCATCCCAGAATTGCTCCAAGTCAAGCACGCTTAACTATGGAGTTCTTCCGTTCCGGGCTACCAAAAAGTAGATGCATCTTGTTAGTATAGGTAGTATCAATTAATTCTTATAAGCCATTCTCAACTGTATTGTCCCATACCAGCACAGTCTCTGGAATCCCTCTCTTTCGGGTGTTGATTCGATTCATTCATGTACCCCCGTCCCTAGAAGCCTGCCAGGAGCCGCTCCTTGTCCGTGCCCTTGCGCACCGGCGATCACTCCCCGCCCTCGTCAGCGCCCGGGATGTTACAGAACACACCTAATTAAAGCCCACCAAATCATGATTAAGGCTGGGTTTGTATGGACTTTTTAATAAAGTTCTTTTCATCACTTCCTTATTTTAAAAGTACTTTCTATAAAAGTTACAACTATTTAGATTTTAAAAAATATATTTGATTTTTGTAAAAATATTTGGCTTTTGACTTCTGCTTTTTTTTAAAGTTAAAATTTTTAGCTTTTGAAAAAAAAGTAAGTTTTTAGCTTTTTTATGACTTCTGTTTTTTTAAAAGAAGACATCCAAACAGACTTTTTTCAAAAATGACTTTTTTTTCTTAAAAAAAGCAGCTTTTGAATAAAAAAAAATCTCATCCAAACGGGCTCTAAAAGAGGGTCGCAGCATATTGTCACATCAGGGTATATACCTATAATTAAAATAAGGGTTTAAGTTTTCTTATGTTGTATGATTGTAGGAGATAAAAAAAAGTAGAGAGAAGTTAAATGTGGGTCCCATATTTTATATTAAAAAAGAAAAGAAAAATTAATTGACACGGAAAACGAATTAGTATAGGAAAATGATATACTCTTATGTAGCATAAGAGTATTATTTCCCTTAAAATAATTAATGGTCATTTTATATATAGATTAAAAAATGATATCTTGAAGGATGAGTTGAAAGCAAATTGTCTTTTGCTTATTCTATAAAGTATAAACTAGTCCATGTCATTAATCCAACTGCAAATAAAAGACATACATAAAGAAGCCAACTTTCCAGCTGTTAACAAGTAGAATGTAACTCGAATACATTATTAATATAATAAAAATGTTATATTATTTAATTAATTTGACATTTAATAGATTCTTAAATTTAATACATCATTAAATAATAGTGTATATTTTTTAATGACAACACATCAAGTTAAACTATAATAAAGACAAGTTGAATGAATATTATGAGCTTTCTATCATAGGAAACACCGTATATTGTAGATAACGTGGGGTAAACAAATTCTATGCTGGCCCAAGAAAGATTTTTCAATTGGGCAGTGATGAATCCAAGGAAACAATGCAATGCACAAAAGCATAAAACCTTTTATTCATGTTGTCTTTTATTGTCTGTAAAAAACAACAACCACCTTAAGCTGTTTGCACAGCACACAACCGAAATAATGCCGAAAGCATTCTTGATCATTCCTGCCAGCGACCAGTCAAACACTCGTTGTTTAATTACAAATTGTGTTTGGCTTCGGTCTACCTTCAATAACATTTTCAAATCTACATTTTCCTTTCCAAAAACATAGATGTAGTGTATTAAAAAATGGCAACCACTATGACGAGATCACTGTAACTAACAAAAAACAAAAAAACAAAATTACTGTTAAACCCGACTAACGAATGTGGGGGAAGATCATTGTAACTATGAGATTTATATTTTTATTTTTTAAAATAATCAAAGATAAACTCTGTTTTGGTCGGCTCATATCAATAGGCTCAATCGGTTGGGTCCAATATCAAAGCCCATATCTAGAGGACACCCACATAGGATTCTCATTCTTCTCCATGAACACAAGAGGTTCAGCGTGTCTAGCTTGAAAAGGCTAGGCTGGCTAGAAGATAGCTCTCCCCTTTTTCTCTTTCACGCTTGACTAAGACATTCCCTTTCTAAATACCTGAAACACATTGAAAAAGTATAAGCTATCTTCCTCTCTAATCTTCTTCTCTATTCACCTTCACCCTCACATACTCTCCCTTGATACACATACATGGGAAGCTCTAACATAATCTTGGTCCATACCATAGCTGCCGGGTGTATCTTAGATCAACATACTATACCCTCTAAGGGAGAAAAGTTAATGTGGACCGAGTATATGTGTACCTTATCCCAAAATAAAAAAAAATCAGGACATAAAAGGAAATAAGCAAAATGATAAAGATAAAAATATCATACAAAATTTCCAATTTAAGAAAAAGGAACACCAAATAATGGTGTACCAGGAGCTCAATAACTTTTCTCCCTCTAAGGGTACATCTATGACAAACCCCAAATCAATTAGATCGTAGGCTTATAACTTCAATCATGATGGGATACTTACTAGTTCAATTAGTTGCAAACAGAGTAATATTGGTTTGTGCTAGCTTGAAAATAATATTGACTTCTCGACATTTTTTGTGGCCCTGAAACAAGTCGATTAATAATAATAAACAATGTATGTACAATTCTCTTATTTTAGGATTTAATGTTTCTACAATGTAGATAAGTTATTTATATTTATTCTCAAAACGATGTTATTTTAAGTTAAAAAATTAAAAAATTATAATAAAAAAGACTATTATAACCCTGAAATAAATTATAATTAGTCAAAAATATTTTAATTTTCGTCTCAAAACTACGTCATTTTGGATTAAGAGTACAAAAAACGAACCCTTTATTTTATAACATATATGCATAATCATATTATGGGTTGGCTTCAAAGGGTTGTTATGAGACCTCTAGTATTTTGATAGGATGCAAATTCAAAACTTTTGGACTTCGGGCTGGCAATGGGACAACATAAATCTGTCGTTTAACTTCCCTGTAATTATCGTCTTCCTTGTTTGTAACTTCAATCATGTTGGTAACAATAAATTCACAAACATGATAAGGCCAAAACAAGTATGCATCCTATAAGAACACACACACACTGCATCAAGCTAAGCACAGTTGAGAAGGGGGGAAAAAAAGAAAAAAAGTCTACTAACAGTTTGAACAACACAATACAAGAAATGGCAATGAAGATAGAGAAAGATGTGAGCCTAAAAAAGAGCAAGACGTCCATGGCAGAAGATGAGTTACAAGCAGCACGGTGTGTCAAGAGAAGACGAAGAGAGCCTTCTGCTGCAGAAAATACTGGCCATGTTAACAACCAGCAACAACTGCAACAACAAGAAGTTAGTGAAAACTCTACAACAAACACTACAAAGAGAAGCTCAAGATTTCGCGGTGTTAGCAGGTCATTAGAAGGATTTTCCTTGTTCTGTAGTTTCTAATATAGAACCGAGCATCCAGTAGTGATAAAGCTACTCTTTCGTGATCGAAAGGTCACACATTTGAATCTTGAAATAAATTCTTGGCAAACATGCAAGCATAAGGCTGCGTATAAGGATTGTCCTTATCCTTAATTTCGGTAGTCTAAGTTTAACGGGGAATGATTTTTTTTATAGTTCGAATAGACCTTAAGCACAAGCTACTTAAGTTCTCATTCTGTTTGATTTGCTGATCAAAGTTAAACTGTAAACAGACATAGATGGACGGGTCGATTTGAAGCTCACTTGTGGGACAAACTCTCTTGGAACATAACACAAAAGAAGAAAGGGAAGCAAGGTTGAGTTCCTTCTTTTTGGTTTTAGCATCAACTGTTCTATTGCTTACTTTTTATCATTCATTTGCTTACATACTAACATGTTTCGATGTTCATACTTTTCTTTTGGAACGTGGGTTGGAATTGGACAAATTGGGACTAACAGTTTACCTTGGTGAGTAGATTAGTTATGAAAGCCAAGATTTTGGTTTGCTCACTCTGTTAGTCAATTAAATGATGACATGTTGTATTTCAAATATCACAGGGGCTTATGATGAGGAAGAATCTGCTGCCAGAGCATATGATTTAGCGGCACTTAAGTATTGGGGAACATCAACTTTCACCAATTTCCCAGTATGATGATAGTAATTACCTATGAAATAATGGTCTGCATCTTTGCATGGATATGTAGATGATTTATCTAACGCTTTTTATGCTTCCAACAGATATCAGATTATGAGAAAGAGATAGATATAATGCAGACTATGACCAAAGAGGAGTACTTGGCCACTTTAAGGAGGTAAAGACTTTTGATCTTGTCCTCTATGAATAGATATAATAGTGTTTGATAAAGCTGTAGAGTTTCATAATATAGGTTTGGATTTGGGTACACTGCCATATTGGTCACTCAAAACGCGTATGTATATATATATATATGACTTTTTTTATTTGTATATAATTTTATAGAAAGAGCAGTGGCTTTTCAAGAGGCGTCTCAAAATATAGAGGTGTTGCAAGGTGATATTCCTAATGAACACAACACTAATTGGTTACTCAATTCTTGATGATGAAGCTGAATCTCTAATACAATTGGTGAATATTTTGCAGACACCACCACAATGGTAGATGGGAAGCAAGGATAGGAAGGGTTTTCGGAAACAAATACCTCTACCTTGGCACCTACAGTAAGTTAATTAAATCTTCACAAGCCATCAAAGTTGGACTACAAAAAAGACTAAAGCATGCACTCACACACACACTACACACGAAGATATAGTTATGCTTCTTTCACTCGTTGAGAGATATAATATAAAAACATTTAAGACCCATCACTTACAAACTTGAGTTCTTTGGTAAATTGGTTGCTTTACATAGTATTAAAGCCTAGATGATCACGGGATCACGAGTTCAATACTCACCGTATCTTGTTAACCAATATAGGCACGCAAGAGGAAGCTGCCCGTGCTTATGACATAGCAGCCATTGAGTATCGAGGGATTCATGCTGTAACAAACTTTGATTTGAGCACATACATAAAATGGTTAAAGCCTGCAGGAGGAAGTACCCAAGAAGCAAAGCTTGAATCACAGACAGTAGTAGATTCTCAAACAGTGGCATCCCCATCCCCATCTAACAATACTCTGATTGAAGAGTCAAAGTCTCTGGCCCTTCACAACAGTTTTTTCAGTTCATATTATCTGGATTCCCTTGAAAAGGAAGAACTCTTGGGAAACAAAACCTACCAATTCTCGAGCAATAAGTCATCTTCTCCCACTGCACTTGGCATTCTTCTACGCTCTTCGTTGTTCAGAGAACTAGTTGAGAAGAATTCAAATGTATCTGGAGATGAAACTGATGATGGGGAAGTCACAAAACATCAACAACAAAAGATAGCTAGCGATGATGAACTTGGTGGAATGTTCTACGATGGCATTGGTGATATCCCATTTGTCTGTGATCCCGATAGATACAACTTAGAATTGCAAGAAAGAGCCTTGCAATCAATATTTTGAAGATTAGTGTAGATTTTCTATACAGTAATGTGAACAACTATGGGATGAGTAAATTTTTCTACTTTTTTTTTTTATAGATTTTAGTTACTTTCAATTTTGAACAAGAGAATAATAATAATAGTTTAAAGAACAAGCATGATTGATGGAACATATACATGCAAGCCATAGTGAACAAGATCATGCCTAACAATGAAAGCACCTGCTCTGTTCATTTGATTTCCCCAGTGATATGTTTCAAAGCTAACAACTCATACTTGTGAAGCACTAACATATAATAATTATAATTTTCATGGTGCTTTACTTATAAATCATGTAACACCCTGTACATTCTAATTTTTTTTTCCTTTTTTTTTTTTGGGTATACATATCCTAATTATTTCTTTGAGGCGAGTTGGTAATACCGAAAGCGCATAGAAAATGTGGCTAAATAGAAAGTTGAGATACGGTAAAAGAGTAATCCTCTTGTTCTCAATTTCTAATCTCAAATAACAAAATTAAACTCTTAAAATAAGGGTCTTAAGTACCCTTTTATAGACTAATTACAAATTGATCCAAAATTCTAAATCTAAAATTCTTAAAATAATAAAACTTCCTAAAATAAATATAACAATAATTAAACTCTAAATATAAGTAAATAATTACAATTAAATCATTCAAAATACGTCCCAAATCTTAAATCTCAAATCATGCCAAATGTGTTGCTTTCCTTTTCTTATCAAACAAATTGCAATCATATCTGCTGCTTTATTTGGACTTGAATTTGATTGTAATTTGTTATATTTCTAATTAATATTTCGTTTAACAATTGAGACATATTTTTTGAGCCACAATTCTAGTTGGTTCGGGGCTTCCTAAATTAATAATTGAGTCATGTGCAATGGGCCAACTGTAAGTGCATTAATTGGCTCATAAGTATTCCTACAAGTTTTAACTCTTTGAGGAAGTACCCAAGAAGCAAAGCTTGAATCCCAGACAATACTAGATTCTCAAACAATGGCATCCGGGTTTTTGACCCTTTTGCCCCTAATTAAATAATTAATAATCAATTTGCCCCTCCCCCAGAACTATCCACCATCCTGCCCCCATTTAGTCGATTAAGTTGCACTTTTAATCGACTAAATGGGCTAAACTCAGAAATTATGAAACGCGAATTTTAGTCGACTAAAAACTCACCTTAATCGACTAAATTGTTTTCACTTTTAGTCGACTAGGAGCATTACTTAGTCGACTAAATGTCGCAGATCAGGTTTTTTAAAAAACCCCCCCATTTCGCAAAGGGGGTTATTTTCAAACCCTAATCGACTAAATCGCTCCATTTCGTCCCCTCTCTCCAACCAAGTCCGAATCTCAACCCTTGAAGGTGCGATTGAAGCTTCCTTGGTTCACACTTGCGAAATCGACATTTAGGTAACGTATTCTGACTTGCATTTGGTTTTAAGTTTAGTTTTTTTTTTGTTTTCTTCATGCATTTGATTTCTGTTTGCGGTTTTGTGGATTTAGGTTAGGGGTAGGGTGCTAAGTTTGTTGTGAGGGTGAGGGTTAGGGTTGATGTGGTGCCTTAGGCTTAGGGTTAGGGTCAGGGTTAGGGTTGACGTTGCTGTTTTGTTTGGGTTGTAGTGTTTAGGGTTAGGAATGGGTTTTTGTGTTCTGTTTTAGGGTTAGGGTTAGGGTTAGGGTTAGGGTTTCTGTTTCTGTTTTAGGGTTAGGGATTGGGTTTCTGATTTCTGTTTTATTTTAGGATTAGGTTTTTTTTTTATATTGAATTTTAAATTTTTTGATATTGTTATTGTTCATTGATTTTTGTTTCCACTTGCATTGTAGGTACAGTTGTTCCCATGGCTGGCCGTAGAAGATCGTCTAGCACTGGAAATGAGAGACGACAGAAGCTACGACAAGACCGTCCGTCTTCGTCAAGGCCACAAGAGGAAGACCCCGCTGCTGTGGACCTCCCATTCGGATACTTGTTCGAGAATGACCCGGTGGTTCATGAATCTTTTGTCCGTGACTTTGTTAACCGACCGATTTGTAGGGCCAAATCACTTGATACAGCCTTTTTTGAACAAGAAGGTTTTAACATTGTGAGGTGGTTGGAGGAATCACATCTTAGGACCTTGGCTGAACTGTCGTGTTCATATTCTGAGCTGCATGTACGGGCCTTCTACCATAATCTCAGCTACCATCAGGGTGAGCTGAGGTCTAGGGTCTGCGGGGTGGACATCATCATGACGGCTCCGGTATGGTTGGAGTTACTGGGGTATGACTTTGATTTTGCGCAGACTGTGGAATATGACGCAGACAGCGGGACCATACTTCCAGGATATACATGCGGTGATGCCGTGCAGGAGCAGAGGAGAGTCTGTGGGCAACACATTGCCTATACGGTGGGGTTGCTTACTGTGGAGTCCCGCATACTACACTATGTCATCACCCACATTTTGTTTCCGCGAGCGTTCAATCATTCCAGGGTGTTGGAGCATGACTTTCCCATCATGTGGGCTATCCGACATGGTACTTCGGTGAACTGGAGGCACTACGTGTGTTAGATAATGTATAAGGCCAAACACAAGGGTGCACTTCCATTTGCTTGTCTTGTTCAGAGGATATTGGAGCATTTTGATGTTCCCATGGGTAATGTGACCTTGAAGAAGACCACATGGTATAATCATAAGTTTGGAAAACGTCTACTGGAGCAGTGCAAGATGACAAAGAACCCCCAAACAGGAGTGTGGCAGTTCACAGGCGCGGCTGATGTTGAGGTTCCTGATGTTGCTCCAGTTGTAGACATGGTTGACCCCGAGGTGGAGGATGATGATGACGATGATGATGAGGGTGACCAGCAGGAGATAGCTGAGCCTGAGGGTGGGTTTTCATTACGTGATGTCATGAAGGGCATAAACGCCACGCTGAAGAAAATAGAAAAAATGGCGTTGAAACACAAAAAATGGAGGAAGAGTCACGTGCAGAAGGGAAATGAAAGATTTAGACATATACAGGGACGGTTCAAGGGTGTTGAAGATAGGCTTGCTCGTCTAGAGCTTGGACGAGGACAACAGATTGAGGATGTTGCAGGGCAGGGGGCTGATGTGTCTAAGGTGTCACCCAGCGGGATAACACTCTCGGGTTCACCATCGTCTTCACTGTCCATATCCTCGTCATGCCCATCCTCATCCTCGTCTATTTCCCTCGGTGGTATCTGACTTAAGACAGGTGCAGGTGCAGATAAACCGACCACTCTGTCTTCTTGACTTTGACTTCTTCCATGCACAGGTACAGATGAAGATTGACCACAGTCTATTTCAACATATATCTCAATAAAGTTTTGAAATTTTCGATCCACAATTGCATCTATGACACAATCCACATCTTCATCGTCACATATATCATTACCAATGTAGAATATAGCATCCTTACCAACTGTAGACTCTACCCTGGCGATCATCCGTTGAACGCCATGGCTGCCGTGTAGCCCCAATTTTTGGTTAATCCTCCCCTTCAGCTCATTGTACGTAGTGCCCTGTTTGATTTTCAACATTTTCGTTTTTCCTTCAAATTGAACATCGTTGGGGCCTTCATAATGCTTTCCATCATAGTAAATCATGGTAACATACATGTTTGGACTTGAGCTCATCTTTCACACGAATTTTGGGGGTATGAATCAGATTTTAGGGGTTAGGGTTCGAATTTGGGGGAAACAATTGAGAAATAAAGGAAAATGACAATGATTTCACAATTATTATGTCTTAGAGGTGGTGGGATGAAATGGAAGGGTGATTGGAAGGTTCCCAGCTGAAAAACAAGAGAAAGAGACCAAGAGAGGAGTTTTGATTTCGAATATTTTGAAAATGAGGCCAAGAGAGGTCTGGATATAGGGTTTTTCGCGATCTTTAATCGACTAAATAATGTGCTTAGTCGACTAAAAATGCAAACAAGTTAGTCGATTAAGGTGAGTTTTTAGTCGACTAAAATTCGCGTTTCATAATTTCTGAGTTTAGCCCATTTAGTCGATTAAAAGTGCAACTTAATCGACTAAATGGGGGCAGGATGGTGGATAGTTCTGGGGGAGGGGCAAATTGGTTATTAATTATTTAATTAGGGGCAAAAGGGTCAAAAACTCGTGGCATCCCCATCTAACAATACTCTGATAGAAGAGTCAAAGTCTTTTGCCCTTCAAAATAGTTTTTTTGCTGGGAATCGAACCTAAATTTTCTCCCCACTCTATTCAACATGTGTTGCCAACTGAACTATATTCGTTGTGTTTTCTAAGTATGTTTTTAGATTTAAATAATTTAGTTTTTTAAGTTAATTGCTACTAAGTAATATACTAATATAAAATTATAATAAATCAAGATAGGTGACGTTTCAAATTAGGATAAAAGGACCATATTATGTCATGCAAGATAACGACAAACTAAAAAATATATACTAACTAATAATTATCCAGCAAATATCAGATATAGTAACTTAAAATACAAAAATAATGATTATTATGTTATTAAGAAAGTGAGTGAAATATCCAAACATAAAACATACATAAAAGTTAAAAAAAGACTATTTCTATACAAGTCTAATATAAGATACTGAGTGGCAGGGTTGATAAAAATGAGTCAACCAGTATAAAATGAGTTGGGTTGGGTTAGTAAAAATAAATTGACAACTCGAGTCAGACCAACCCAACCCGAACTAGTTTGAAAAAAATCGATCCAACCTGTAAGTCAAACGGGTCATCTAGCTAGTAATTATTTTTAATTTATTAAAAAAATATAAAAGAATAATAAGGGGCCAAATATGTTCAAAGAAAGTAGAAACTTTTTTTTTTAATCTAAGTTTATGTTTAACAATTTTAATTATCTTATATCATATTCATTTTTTTAAGCTTTAAATTTTTTTTTTATCTTACTTCAATTATCATGTTTTTTCATTTTTTTAGGCTATTTTTCCCCTATTTTTTTGAACCAATCCACAAGCCAACCATAACCCGGCTCGGGTTGGATTTTCTGATT